CCCGCCCCCGGGGGAGAGCCCGGGCCGCTGGCCCGGGGTGAGCTGCCGCGTTGCTGCCTTAAAGGGAATAAATCGGAGCCGGGTTCCCGCGGCAGAAGTGGGAAAAGCCTCTTACCCCAGCCAGAGCCTTGCGCCGAGGAGCAGCCGCTCATGTCAAGCGAAGGAGCCCGACTGCGGCCACCCTTCCCCCAGCCCATCGCCCCAGAGCCATGCAAAGGCGGAGCGGGCTTGGGACAATTTAAATGCTAAAGCGGTTAAGTGGGGACAATTGCTTCCTTCCCTGGAAGCCCAGGGAAACGGGGACCCATCCCACCGGAGCCGCCACGCTGCCGCGCGTTTGGAAAAGGCCAAGTCTCTCCTAGAGTAATTTCGAGCCTGCTGCTCCAAGTGGGGGGGATCCCGGAGGAATGGAAAACCCGCACGTGCATGGGTTCATTTCCGAGTTGGGAAAAGCCACGGCCTGTTCAGCACGTGGGTTTTTTCCCCCCCCCCGTCCCCCTCCCCGGGAAGCGGGAGGATGATGCCGGCTCTCGCTCCGGTGCGCACCTTGCCGGACTCGGCACGGCGCAGCTTCGAGCCCCCCGGACGGGCCGAACTTGGCCGTGGCGACGGGTCAGCCGCATCCCATCAAAGCGGCGGCTTTGCATGCCAAAAAAACTCCCTCTCGCGTAGCGGGAAGAAACGCAAACGGGAGCGATTGTGCCGGAATTCAATCCGGCAGGAATTCGGGGAGCTCCCGAGGCTGCTTCCCTGCAACAGCAAAGCTGCTCCGAAACCAAGCTGAGCCGGGATCCTGCAAGATTTCCTTCCGCATAGAAAGCTCAAATGAGCGGCAACATTCCTCCCAAGCGCCTGAACAGCAGGAAACTTTCTCCGAAGCCACGTTAATGAGAGCATTTAGCAGAAAAGGGGCTTTTTTTCCCCCGCCCGGAGCTGGAACGAACAAGGGATGAATCCCCCGGGGAGCTCGTCCTTCTCTTCTACTTATACGGTTGCGAGGCAAATCCAGCGCCGAGCGATCGGCTCTGCGGGGCTCTGTCAGTATTTGGATTATCCACGTTTCGTTGGCGCCGGGATCCTCGGGGAATTTGGCTTCGGGGTCCTCCGCGCCAACGGACTCGCTGCAGGCGATGGGGAGATTTCTTCTCCCAAGAGCGGCAGTGGGATGAGCGGGATGGGAAGGGCCGGTCCGCCGGGAAAAGCAGGGGGAGAGTCGCCACAGGCTCCAATGTCGTCCCCCAAGGCCGTCCCCCCGCAACAGCCGCCGCACACCAGCGCGATCCCAGTCCGGATGGGTTCAAGGATGCCGGAGCCGCCTCCGTTAAATACAGGGAGGTGGAAGGATGTCTTTCGGAGCGCGGCCAACCTCGAGCCGCGCTCGGATCAGCCGAAACTGCCGCTCCGAGACGACGGCGGAGGTGTCAGCGCCTTCGGGCCCGCACCGCGATCCGGCTGCCGGGTGAGGACGGAGGTGCCGATCCCCTCTCCAGCGCGGAGAAGCTCGGGAAGAGGAAACGCGCCCAACTCCGAACCCCAGCACGGCCTCGCACGCCAAAAGATCATCCCTACCTGCTGCCAAAACCTCCAGCTCTGCCGCCACCCCCCCCCCGCCCTGGGCAGCGGCTGGCTCCCGGCACGGGCTCTGAAACGCGCAGAGACCTGGCAGCTCGTTCCGCTTTTGGGCGAGACAAATCGGAGCGGGTGGCAAAGACGCCGGAGCTGGCGGAGGCCCCGCGATTCGGCACGGGAACGGTGCGAACGGCGCCGGAGCTGGAGCAGCGGAGAGAAACGCCAAGGGGAAACGTTAGCGGAGGCCTGGGGGGTG